AAGCACTGAAAAACAGGTTTAAGTTGAGGCTCAAGTGACTCATTTTTTTGTTTTACCTAAAAAATAAACTGTTTGCAATTTTTAAATTGAATTCAAATTTTAGAATACATGTTTATACTTTAAAATTAAAATTTATATTATTTAATTTTAATTTATTAACATTATAATTTGTATTTTTAAAAAATATGAAATATTATAATTAAATTTTTTAATTTTTAAATTTAAAGAAAATGAACTGATGAGCCTAGCCTTACTCTTTGAATAAAGACCAAGTTTTAAAAAATAATTAATTTTAAGATAATCAAGTTTATAGACTTAAACCTTATGGGCTTGCCTCCTTGACTTCGGCCTTATGTGATATTTCAAAAATGAACACTAAGGCCTCGTTTGATATGATTGAAAATTTTTAATGAAATCGGAATTGAAATCGAAATTAAAATCGAAATCAGAATCGAAATAGAATTAAGTTTTAAAAGTGTATTTGGTATGAAGATGGAATTTTAATATAATATTAATTTATATATATACTTAAAATAAGAAAAGACTAAATTATCTTTTTTTTAAATTAAAAAGACCTAACTTGTTATAAATGGATAAAAAAGATGAGGATAGTGGGATTCGTAAATTAAATTCAAGAGAACTGAAGCAATTTCATGGTCAATATGATGGAATTAGATTTTAGCATTTTTGGTGGAATTAAGATTCTTAAGAATTACAACTCTTGCATATCAGTTATGCTTAAATTAAAATTTTATCTTTGATTTCATTTTTATCTTGCCAATTCAATACTACCAAACATGGCCTAAAGGCAGACATCAAGATTTGACATTAAATGATCAAAAGTCAACAGGTGATTTGATTCTGATATTCCAAAATTTGATAATATATAAAGCACTTTTGAATACTGTTTAATCTTGAAATAATATCAATTCTTGAAATATCGGTTTTGAATTTGACAACATGAAAATCAAATTACATAATGAGCTTTGATCCTTTATTGAAATTATAATATCTTTTGATCATGAACTAAAATTAGATTTATCTTTAATCTGTGATTCACTTGTAATACATAATTTTTTCCTTGAATATCGTGTGATACATAAATAGAAACAAGAAAACAAAACAGCTAGTGCACACATTCTTCTCATCATCTGCCATTTCCTTGCAAAAAGTACCTACCTAGGCTATCCAAAACATACTCTGTAAGATTGTGGGCTCAAGAGTTAACGAAGGACTTCAATCCAGTGCTGTTCAGGCAAAACTCGTATTACTTTTGGGAATTATGAAGTTGAACTGATGAAATGTGGTTGTGTTTGAAAAACAGAAAAAAGGACGTTGGAATCTTGAGCCAGGCCCAGGGGCGGACCAAGCGTACACGCATATGAAGCCCATCTTTTGACCCTTCAACATGCACCATTTGATGCCCACCTGGAAAAGCCTTCAGTTTTATATCGGGAAATGACTTCATTTCTTGCAGGCTCTTTTCGTTTTCTATTAGAACTAAAAATTCAGATGGACTGAGCTTATTCAGACTCAATTTTAATAGACCTGATTTTCAAAAAGTTTGAATAATTAAACCTGGTCCAAATTTTGTCGGGGCTTTGGGTGGCTCAAATACTCAAATTTTATTTTAAAAATTATTTTTAATTAATTTTTTAACTTTAAAATTAATTATTTTATTTTAAAAAAAATATAAAATATATATTTTTGATACTTAGATAATGTATAGGACTCAAATATATGATATTTTAGTATAAAATAACTTAAAACTTAAAAAATTAATTAATATTTATTACATTTTATATTTTTTTTAAAAAATAAATTTTTTATTCGAGTATTCAGGTCGATTAAGGCTAGTTTGAATAAGCTTGAATATAAAATAACCATAATTTTTAAAAGCCCAATCCTAAAGTTTTTCGTGTGAGTTCGGGTTAGTTCATCAGGCTTGGCCCAAATTACCGGCTCTATTTTCTACATTAACTTTCATCAGCCAAAAAAAAATCACCTGGATTTCTTCAATAAGAGTGCGTACGCATGTGTATGTGTATATGTGGGAAAAAATAACAATAATTTTTTTAAATATATAAATGATAACCAGCCTTCTCAAAATTTTATAACTTTTTTGAAATCTTTAGTACTTTTTGGACATTAATAATTTTAAGATGAATAACTAAATTGCCCTTTGTTTAAAATAAAAATAATGGGTTTAGCTCCAGCTTCCTAATCACAACTTTTGTTATTTAAATTATAAAAATTAAATAAAAATTAGAACTTCTCACATAAATTTTTTTATAATTGATAAACAAGTTCTAAAAATAACTAATCATAATAATGACTTTTATTTTATAAATTATAAAAATTGAATAAGAAATCACAACTTCTTATACGAAATTTCTTTTGTGATTGATAAATAATTTTTAAAAATAACTACTCATAATTTTTATTTTATAAATCGCAAGAACAACATGATTTTATTTTTATCACTAAAGTCCAAGTTTTAAAAATAATCAGTTATAATTTTTATTTAACAATCATAATTTTTATTTTGTGAATTGCAATACTTAAATAAGAAATAACAACTTTCCATGTAAACCCTTTTTTTATTTTAAAAAAGGTACAATCATTCAAAAGAAATTGTAACATTCAGGAAATATTTATTACATTTTTAAATTGCCCATCATATATAAAATTAAAGTCTATTTTCATGAGACATATTTGTTTCATTATTAATCACAAGGGCATTTTAAAAATTTTAAATTTCAGACATAACTATTAAGATTAACAATTTTTCTTAAACTATATAAATCAGTTAACATTTTCTTATATTTGAAAATGGATGGATTACGTCAAATCAGATCACCCAGGGGAACCAAGAAATAGTCAGTGGAGATCCATTCAAACAATAGCAATACAATCAGTAATCTATAGTAAAATATTCCTATGAGGAGGTTCTAATTAATTAACAATCACGAAACTCATAACTTATTTTGGAACTGACGGCATATTTATTCAGCTCACCAATTAAAGTCAATCCCTCTGGAAGCACCATGACACACATGATCCTTCAAAATTGTAACCCACTCCCCCTATCACTTCTGTTTCATGCAGGACTTCTTCTTCATGACATGGGTGTTTGATTTCCCCAAAACATGCATAAATATCAATTGTCAGCCAATCAAGAGTCAACCATTCAAGGGTGGAGCTAGGATTTAAGAATAAAAAGAGTTAAAATTAAAAATAATATATATTATAAAGTTTTCATGAAGTTTATAGTATTAACATGTACCCCCTTCATTAAAAAAATTATAAGTATTTTTTGAGGAATTTGATGTATAAGCAATGTAAGGCTTTTTTAGTCTTTTAAGATGTAATATTATTATTTTTAAAGTGTTTATATTAATAATAACTTTATATTTATTATAGGGTGTTTAATATGAGTAAATATAAAAAAATAAATTATTTTAAAAATATGTGATTACTTTATTGAAAAGTATTAAGATAAGATTTAATTAAAATTTTTTTATATTTTTAAATAAAGGAGTATTAAACTATCAACATATGATACTAAAAAAAATTTAAAAATCGGGGGCGTGCTCGTCGCCACTTCCTCCGCATTATCAACAGTTGCTATATATATACAAAATGACGCATTATAAATATCCAATAAAAAAAAAACCAGATATATGGGTTTCATTTCAGACTATATATATATATATATATATAGCTGACCGCAAAAGTTTGGACAGTTTTGATAACGATGAACTTCAATCATTTCATTTTATTCCTTCATTTTTTACGAATTGTTTAACAATTCACTGGGCAGTATTTTTGTACCAGAGAAAAAATGATGCTAAGTAATTTGTACTCAATTTGGCAAAGCGGGTAGTGATAAATTTCCCCCACGGCTACTGTCATCCGCATGCTCGTGCTGAGCTAGGCGAGTGATTTCATTTAAATCCACATACTTTGCAACCACGTGTTATACACACTTTTACTCTTTATGTCTTAATTTGAGTTGGAATATTACATAATTCCATAGAAATTTCAATTTCACTCGTATAGGCATGTGCTATTGCTTTCAATTACTTGTTTATTTTATCTGACTATTCTCTTGATTCTTTTTTTTCCCCCTAAAGTGGGATTCTGTCAAAGAGGAGAAAACAAATCATGATATGATTGTCATAAGAAGACTCAGTTATTGAAAACATATTTTATTATTTATTTCATATGTCCTAGAGACTGTGAAATATTTAAATGATTAATGGGGTTGAAATACATCGGGATGTATGATCTATTGCTTGAAAATGGCTTTAAAAATTATATCCCAATTAAGTTGCCGTATATATCAAGAAAAGAAAAGGAAATTAGAATTGACTTATTTTCATGGGGCAAATTTTGACCAACACTTCAAGCCGCGAAATGCTACATATATTCATACCCATTATACGTAACAAGGAGGGGAAATAACTTTATGTACGAATTTGGGAATGAAATCAAACGAGATTATTAATTATTAATGACTTCTAATAGGTTTAGAATGTTGGCCCTTTTTTTTTTTGGAGCAACTACTATGCATTCATTGGCGGAAAAGTAGTTCTCGCGGAATTGATGAAAAATATCCGGAAAAAAATTATTTGATTAAAAATGTAATAAACATTAAGCTAGTATGCTTGCCAATGTAATAATCTGTTTGATTAGTCTGCTAGTACAAGAAATTGTGCCTATTTTTCCACGAGAAATATTTATGACCGTCTGTGTTGCACGCAATCGCTTTGCATTCGTCATTAATTTTTTTTTAAATATAATACATAATTGAAGAATGTAGTGACATTTAGCGAAAAAAATTACATAAGCATGGAATTTTGGGGCATATATGCAAAAATAGCATCGCCTCTTATAAGAAATAAAGATCAAGTTGAAGATTGCAGCCCTGGGCCACCAATATAACTCTATCTTGCCTCACTCTATATATATATATATATATATATTTATTTATATGATTTAGATCGAAGGCCATTCCACCAATACGGCTGGTTACGCATCTCCTTCAGGCCCTCGCTCTTATTCCAAAACCCCTTTGAGCGAAAATGGTGATGGAACTTTCTCAGTGGTTTGTTCCAGCTTTGTGCGTGTTCGTCTTGATTTGCCTTTCCACTCTGATACTCCGACAAGATGGGAAACGGAGAACCCTTCCACCTGGCCCCCCTACCTTACCTCTCATCGGCCATCTTCATCTCTTGAAGCCGCCCATTCACCGAACTCTCCAGAAACTGAGCGACAAATACGGCCCTGTCATGTTCCTTCGCTTCGGCGCTCTCAAAGTTCTGGTGGTCTCTTCACCCTCCGCCGTCGAAGAATGCTTCACCAAGAACGACATCGTCTTCGCCAACCGCCCTTTCACGCTTGCCGGCAAACATCTCAATTATGACTACAAGACAGTCGGATTTGCCCCTTACGGCGACCATTGGAGAGGTCTCCGGCGACTGATGAATCAGGAGCTTTTCTCCGTGAGCCGACTCGCCATGCTGAGCGACGTCAGGGTGGATGAAGTTCTGCTTCTAGTGAAGCAACTGTTCGGGAAATCAGGGGGAAGTTGGATGAAAGTGGAGCTCAGACACAGATTCGTGGACCTTATTTTCGACGTGACGTTGAGAATGATCTCAGGGAAGAGGTATTATGGGACCGACGTGGTGTCAAAGGAAGCCATGGATTTCAAGAACATGATGGACGAAATATTCGAACTTTTTAATCCCGGCGTGGATGACCTTTTCCCAATAGTACAGCGGCTTGATCTCTTTGGGGTGCAAAGAAAGATGAAGAGATTGATGAAGAAGCAGGACAGTTTTCTTCAGAACCTGCTTGACGAGCACAGGAGAAAACGAAGCTCCAGTGCTAGCAATGGCTCCAACCAGGAGAAAAAAACCATGACCTTGTTTGAAGTTATGTTGTCTCTTCAAGAATCGGATCCGGTGTTTTACTCCGACACAAACATCAAAGGAATTGCAGCGGTAAGAAATTGGTTGAAATATTATTTTACATTCAATAAAGGATTTATACGAAAATAAATAAGTTGTGTAGAGATGGATGAAAGATACCGTAAATTTCTATTTTATTGAGTTAAAATATTGATTTAAAGGAAATGACTCCTTTTAATTGATTCAAATATCAAACTATATATTTCATTTATAACCAATTTGATCGACTTGTACGCAATCACTTTTAAGATAAGGCACCACCTGAGTTACTTTTTTTAGATGGATATACAAGGTTGGAAGCAAGCTTTAATTGATCATGCCGCTGGTATATGGTATATTTGATCACAAGCTACTATGTTAACTCTGATGATGAGCTGCATGTGATCGTCAAAGGACAAAACCAATTAAAACACGTTTGATAGAATACGATAAAAATAGGTGCAATAATGATATGACTATGATTGCATTAAATGCGCAGGCAGTGGTAGCAGCAGGGACAGAAACATCAGCTTCGACCATGGAATGGGCACTGTCAAATCTCCTGAACCATCCAGAGGCAATGGAAAAGGTGAAGGCTGAGATAGACACTTATGTGGGAAAAGACCGATTCATGGATGAATCAGACATGCCAAAGCTGACATACCTCCAGAACGTAGTCTTAGAAACTCTTCGCTTATATCCAGCCGGTGCTCTCGGAGTTCCCCACATGAACTCAGAGGACTGTACGATTAGCGGTTACCACGTGCCCAAAGGGACGATGTTGATGGTCAACTTGTGGGTGTTGCACAAGGATCCTAAGCATTGGAAGGATGCCACCAAGTTCATGCCTGAGAGGTTCGAGAATGGGCAAGGCTCTGAAGGGTATAACCTGATCCCGTTTGGTGCTGGAAGGAGGCAGTGCCCTGGGGCTAATCTCGCAAAGAGAATCATGGCCTTGACTATTGGATCTCTGGTTCAGGCCTTTGAGTGGAAGAGGATTGGGGACCACGAGATCAACATGATGGAGGGAGACGGTCTTACCCTTCCCAGACTTGAGCCTCTGATTGCGCTCATTAGGCCACGCCAAGAGATGATGAACCTTCTCTCTAGTTTGTGAAGTATGAGGACATTATCATCCTTTGAGAATAAACAGTACTGGTTTAATTATCGTGGCTCCGTCTTTTTTTTTGCTTGCTGAGCAAAACTATATTATTGCAGCCTATGTAATATGTAATAACGGAAGAATTTCTTCATCCCATATCTGTCTTCTTTTTTCAAATTGTTCTTTCCTCATAGATAAACTGGTACCTAATAAAATATTAAGAGAATCACATCTAATGACTTCTCAAAAAAATTATTTACAGACAATGACCAATATAAAATTGTTTGTTGTTAAAATAATAATAGATTTATTTTTTTTTGAATGTTGTCTGGCTGTTTATCCTTGTTTGTAAATAATTCTCTTAAAAACCTTTTAAAATTCTTCTTAAAATATTGGTCGTCGTTAGTTTGGAAGATAAAAAGGTGTGGGAGACCCTATTGGATTCACACGCAACTATATATACTTGATACATGCATGACGCTTGTTGTCTAATGAATTCTCGCTAAAGCTTAAGGAATATATTTCAATGGACAGAAAAAAAGTAATAATAAACAGAGCATTGTTTCCTTGGATGATAAAAAGGGAATCATGTCGTCCTATTCACTCGCAACTCAATTAATACGAGTATATGTAGTTTGTGATTATGAATTGTGGATTAATACAAGTGTTAAACTAAAATTTATTAACTCATTTGAAAGTGATGCCTCACTGTTGCAGCCATATGTCTTATATGCTTAGGGTCACCCACCCTATGCATGCACAGTAAGATCATATATCCGAGAGAGTACTGAGTGGTGGCGATGCTGATCTTGATCATCTTTTTATTCACGCAAGAGGATCCAACGTGCAAGAGGGTCGTTTTGATCTTGATTTCCAAAAGCAAGAAAAGAGCCAAGCAGGATATTGAAAACATATTTTATTATTTATTTTATATGTCACAGAGACTGAAATATTCAAATGATTAATGGGGTTGAAATACATCGGTATGTATGATCTATTGCTTGAAAATGGCTTTAAAAATTATATCCCAATTAAGTTCACGTATATATATCAAGAAAAGAAAAGAAAAAAAATAGAATTGACTCATTTTCATGGGGCAAAATTTGACCAAGACTACAAGCCGCGAAATGCTCCATATATTCACACCCATTATACGTAACAAGGGGGGAAATAATTTTACGTACGAATTTGGGAATGAAATCAAACAAGATTATTAATTAATAACTTTTGGGCAACTATTATACATTCATTGGCGGAAAAGTAGTTTTCGTGGAATTGATGAAAAATATCTGAAAAAATGATTAAAAATGTAATAATCCTTACTCTTTTCGATTCCATTTATAAGACACATTTTAAAAAATTTATTTGGTCTCATTTATAAATTACGAAATGACTTTTTAGGTATTATTTAAAAAATATTTTTAAATTTACTCTTCACAAGAAAAAAAATAACATGACATCACTTTTTAAATTTGTTTTATAGGAGTATATTTGAAATTTTTTACACTTTTATTTTTTGTAATTTTTTTGCATTCAAATTAACAATATTAGTGAAAATGACTTATAAAGAAAATCAAAAGAATAATATTTATGACCGTCTGTGTTGCACGCAATTGCTTCGCATCTGTTATTATTTTTTTAAAAAATATAGCACATAATCGAAGAATGTAGTGACATTTATCGATAAAAAATGATATAAGCAAGGAATTTTGGGCAGGTATGCAAAAATAGCATCACCTCTTATATCTCTCTGCCTTTTTTTTTTTCAATTCTTTCTTCAAAATTACACTTTATTCAACATTATAAAAATCAATATTATCCAATTAGTTCAAGGGCCTGGGGAAAGCTTAAATTTCTCACCAACAGTAAAACACAAACAATTACATGCTAGCTAGTCATTTAAATCTCCCGTTCGATAACACTTTTTCTACGAGAAACACCCGTTTGATATCTGTTTTTTCATTTGAAAAAAATCTCCAGTTAATTTCCCGTTTCTATGTTTTATGTTGTAGGCGTAATTTAAAATCTAGTATCGTAGAATCATTGCAAAATATGCTAAGAACGTAATTAGAGTAAAGGTGTTGACGAAGTTATTTATTAATTAATTCCTAAAAAAATATGAAAAGTTCTAAAATGTTCAAACTATTTTATGTATTTGCGATCGTCTTTTTCGCCCACAATTCACAGGGAACATTTGTGCGTGATGTTCAAGTTTTGCCTAAAAGCCCTGATGTCCTAATATATATGGGGATTCGATTTGTCACCGCCGTTCTCTCAAGCATTTCGGCAACATTTTCTTTCGGTCCTTTAATTGAGCTCACAAAATATATGTACATGCAAAAGAAAAAAAAGGCAGACCCTTTACCTTTCTTAACTCGACACCTATATACTCTCAAAAATAGGCTACGATCATCACGAAATCTTTTCCAAATAAATTAACTATCACAACTTTTTCATTTGAACGTTGTGTATATGTAGAAAAAGAACGTTGAAAAGAAAGCGAAGTGAAAAGTCCAACTATACTGTTCCTCCTACATATATATGTTTCTAGAGCGTTTAGAATGATTCACCATAAATGAAATTGACTGAAACAAAGTAGAAGTCCTGATCGAGGACTACTTATTTAACTTTTAAAGTCTGCACAGACGGAATTAATGCACCCATCTCTTGAGCTTAAATTCGCATATCATGACGTACTCCGTCTACCTTAGGGTAAAGTACATAATTTCTTAGTCTAAAATATCGGATAAAGAAGTGTTTATAGTTTTGTTAATCCTGCCCCTCCTTTATTTATGGTTGGTCACGTTATTATAGATATTAGCTCTAATAATGGATTGAAATTAAAAATTCACATATTTTTTTATAAGTTTAAAAATATTAAGTATCCTTTTTAAAATTAAAATCGTGAAATAATTGACTGGTGCTGCGGTACTTTGTCCCCTGATGTCTGATGACGCCTCTGTCGCCGCCCGCCGAATCGAGGACGAGGCTTTCTCCACCGCCTCTGCTTTTGCCTCTCCCGACGATGACGGTATCGAGATTATTCAGCTCTCCTCGAAGGAGATCAGCAACCTCATGCTCTAAACTGTCAAGGCCAGAGCTGTTCTCGATAATGATGTCTCAAAGACGCCAGCCTCGGGCGTACCTGCTCCCTCTCACGGGGAGGGTGTCTCTGCTACCGAGTCTGAGTCTTAGTCTTGATTCTTATGACCTTTGCCATTTCTTGTGTTTTTAGGATGTGTTTGGTTGGAAGGTCAAGGGTGAGGACCTCTTCCCTTTCCTTTCCTCAGTTTGACTCCTCTAAATTGAGGTAAATTTTCTGAATGATTTATTCTTCCTCATTTTATTATATTCCACAATTGCCCATAAGTGAAAAACACAAGATATGAACTCTGCATCCATATTCTCCATCGGTTTGCTTGTTGCTCTTGCCGTTTTTAATCCCAGCACCGTCTAGCTCGTCCCCATATCGCCGTTGCGTTTCCAGATCCGGCCAGAGTGATTCACTACTAAAACTTCGACTTAGAGGATTGTAATTCGCAGGACAACCAGAAGCACAAGGTAAAGAAAAAGAAGGTAGTGTCTATACTTGTGTCTCTGACATATCTGTTGACGTTGCTTGAGTTTGCATTGAGGGGGCTGGCCTCTATTCTTGGTGAAGTTTGTAAAAATTCAAAGAACCTCATCTTCAGTCATACTTGTGCAGTAGCACGTGAGAAAAACTGTTTTACATGATTTTTGTTTAAATAATACTGTTGTTTTATTTTTTTTAAAAAAAAAGTCTTTTGAATGGTGAGATTTAATGTAATTTTTTTGTTGATAGAAGGTGAGTTAAAAAAAATTGCTATTATAAAATTAATTTATATGAAAAGGAGTAAAAATAAAATAAAATTTAATATATAAGGATATAATGATAAATTAATCATTATCTTTTCCCTCCTCTTATCCAGAACCAAACGAAAAATCATTAAAAATCCTTTACTTTTCATTTTTTCCTAGTAAAACAAAACAAGGTAGGATAAAAATACTCTCCTTCTCTCAGTTTCCCTCCTCTAAACCAAACACAGCTTTAGGGTGTTTGCTCGCATTGAGAGTTTGAACTTAATTATCCATGATGCCAAACTTTATACTGGAGTCTTTCCATGACCTTGATTATCCTTGTGCTTAAAATAATTTTCCTATCCGCGGCCTGCCATTACTGCTAACCTGCATTTCTTTTTCAAGTGATACCATCATATCTTTCTTCGTTTTTAATTTCAAAAGCTTTATGTGCCAAATATCTAAAGTAAGAACAATGTATGCTAGAGAAAATAGATTTCCTTCCCAAAAGCTGTTTTACACCCAAGAAGCTAATTATGTGGCAGCCTGTAACCACAGATCATATTCAGTCTATAATGGTGAACTCGTTCTCACATATTGAGCCTTGCACAGACGCAATACGACAATTTGATCTGTTTCTGTAGCATGGTACGTGCTCAAGGTGTAAATTGTTTTTTTAAAATCAAATTGTCACTGCTTGTTTAGTTTTATACATTATGCTGCTCTTGAGCTTAAGGGGATCTTGAGTCCGGAATAGCTGTCTATCAAGAGTGGGGTTCTGTCACAAATGGGCCTGATTATAAGGGGCCAGATCCTGTAAAGGTCCAGAACCAGATTACTAATAATGGGATGCTAGAGAATGTTGAGTCAGCCGAGAACGTTGAGGCTCATGACTGTTCACGCTGAGGAGGACATGCAAGATCAAGTGCCTACGATGCCAACGGTGCCCTGCAGAAGCAACCACTCAAGGAGAATCATGTGGAAGCTGAGAGAGGCTAGGGAGGGGCAGGGAAGTTATGTAAAGACGTCGAGGATCTGTTAGAGGGTGTGCTTTGAGTGTTTGAGTCTTCCCCTCCGTTATTTTGCAAGTTTTTTCCATTCTGTAATTCGCTTCTGGTTCTTCTGTTTTCTCCTCTCTGTGACTGAACTTTTTGTAAATAATACCTTGAGCTGGTTGATATCCTGTTGATTCTGTTATTTTAATTGCACGAGACTGACAGGTTCATAGTGTTCGGCAAGAACTTAAGAGTTGATAGGCGATTACTTTCGTAATTGCAGCTATATTAGTCAAAGGGTCAACTATAATATTTTTTATATGTCATCCTGAGAAAGTTCCGTCTTAGAATATCGTTTTCCTATTTGTTTTCATCTCCTAAAGGTTGGTTGACATATCATATGCAAAAGTCTCTTTAGCTCTAAAAGATATAGTTGCAACTTCTTATTTTGAATCCGTCCCACATATTGGATTTGGAACCTCATACTCCCATTCGCACACTTCACTTTCTGTGTTTGTGGTCTCCGCTGTTCAGAGTTCTGACTTCTGATCCTTGTTTTATTTTTTCTCATGATTTTAAGCACGTCTACACTTGTTTCTATCTACCTTCTGATACAGCTTCCAGCAATTGCGACTCACGATTGTATAGGAAACATTGTTCTGCTCAGCATTTAAGCTGCAACTGCAACTTTCTTTGCATGGAACATGATCTGAGTGCCATTTAGGCACATATCGCTGATGTGCATGTTAAGCTATTTTTTTAGCTTGGCTAATAATTAGTTAATGCCCTTTTCGTTTAGTTTTACTCATTTAGCATTGGATGGTGTGTGATTTAATGAAGGCATTTTATTTCTCTCCAATTTTTCATGGGTTGTAATGGGTCTGCTGCTTGTCGATTCTATTTATACCTGTTGCTTGTAATGGCATTTTACTTACCTTGAGTAGAAATACAACCCTGATTATAGGGGGCGGCCGCCATCATGATCCAACTGCTCTTTTGGCGTCAGATGGAAGATAATTTTTTAAGATCAAGATCCATTATAGAATGTAATCTCTTATGAATAAAGGTCATATTGGAATAGTGATAAAGAATATACTCTGCATGGAAGTAACACAGCATTCAGTGTGCCATTATTTCTTGTCTCAAAGCTGAAAATGCAGCAATTTCTTTCCTACTACTCTGATAACTTCACCCACCAATAATCCCAATTTTAGCTTTGTACGTATCTTCGTTAAATGACCCATCAACATCGAACTTTATACTTCTAATCTTGGGTAAATCCCAAACTCTAGTAGCTTGGGTTGCCAAGATTGGAATATCAGTATTCCTTGTGTACTTTTCTGTCACTTAGCATTCCAGAATTAATTGCTCAGCATACATAATTAGGATCAATCTTCTGACCTTGAAATATTGCAGTGCACCGTGCTTTCCGTGTACACCATCAAATGCAAGAAATCCAGCATCCCTTGATATTTATATTCTTGTGATGTTCCATTTATCCACTAATAAACACATTTCATTGCAATTTTCAGAGAATTATTTTTATTTATCCTCTTATTATTAGTCTCCGGTCTAGCGTCAGATGCACAATGCAATACTCCCATGTGTGAGTCGATGCCGCACTATTTAGGAATGGAAATCTCTTTAAGTTTAATTAGTGGGATCCGACAAAATTCAAATGTTAATTTCATAACTTTATCCTCAGACATCGGAGCAATTATAATGATGATTTCACTTTAATTAACATTGTACCCCTGATATATGAGTTATATCTAAAGAAAGGAGCTCAAGGAGCAACAAAACCATGTATAATCTTGAACAATAGACAGCGGAGAAATTATAATGAATAATAAGGATTGAGATTTGAACGCTCGAAATGAGAATCTCTAACATCATGCTAATTTAAATTGATACAATCAAATAATATTTGAATAATTGGAAAATGATAGTGCCCCCCATCTCTATTTTGTAATTTTCCCCATCCTTGGTGTTCGCTAACACTGACCATTGGAAAAATAAAAATCCTGAAATAGAAGATATATGATCCAACGCTTTTTGACGAGGTCACAACTCAATTCAGATTTGCACCAGTTGTTCAAATGGCAAATTGTAAGTTGAGTAGTGTCTTTGTTGCCGTTTCTAAAATCTAGATATATGCATACAAATTTATAACGCTCACTGCATTATACCTCAAAAAATCTACTCTATAACATTCATTGATATCCTAAGGATCTAGAAAACACATTGAATCGATTTCGCGTAGTTAAAGTTAGATGTAATTATAGATTTCTGAGGACTTGCCAGTCTCTGTTCATAGCCTATCGTCTCCATTTGTGACAAGAAAAAGCCCTATAACACAACGACAATAAGACCAAGAGATTGAGAGTAAATAAAAGGAACTTGTGTCCAGGGCCCTTTCTGCTTGGTCCAGAAGCTAGTCTCGATGCCAAGGAGCGTAGAACCAAATGGAGAGTGCTTGAAGTGTTATTAGAAGAAACAGCAGAAGACGACGTCGGCTCTAGTCCTTTGACTCCGTCACAGCCGTGAGCCACCCTTGCACATGATACCTCCGGTCGAAGAAGACGGCAATGTGCAGGACTGAGCTGAGACGACATCGTCACGACCATGATGATTCCCAGCGCAGCCCAGAGAGTCTTGTTCAACATCAACGACAAGTTTGTTTTTCAAACTGTGATGTGCTTTCAGTGATTAGAAGTCTCTTCACATTCATCTCGAGTGATATGAGTTATCCTGGATGATCACCTATGGAGACAGGAGATCCACCTCTGGTTAGTCTGCGTTTGTATGGGGAAACTTGGTGACTTGGAAAAGGCAAAAGCAGAGAGTTCTATCCAGAAGCAGTGCTCAATCAGAGTTCAGAGCATTAGCTCAAGGAATTACAGAAGAATTATGGATAAGAAGAGTCATGGAAGAAATACAGGTTAGAGTTGATCCACCGATCAAGCTGTGTTGTGATAACAAGGCTGCCATAAGCATGCCATCGAACCCTGTGCAACATGAGAAATCTAAGCATGTTGAGGTGGGATAGACATTTTATCAGAGAGAAAGTGGAGGGAGGAAGTCTATCTTCAGAGAACAAGGCTGAAAAGAAGCTTTCTTCACTTTGACGATCCGTGGATGCGTAGTTTGAAAGTCTTTCCACCTGAACCTTTTTTCATTAGAAATGGCTTCAGACTCGACCTGAAAGGTTCCGGTTACACCTATTGGACCAGACGGAAATACAAGCTCCTTTTGTTCCGGAGAAACTTGATATGTTAGTTCGGAACTAACTGAATATGCTGATGAGGTTGTTTACAATGCCTCGAAAGAGGTCGGTGCGGAACGATTTGAGTGATTCACCTAACACTTCAAAGCGTTACCGGTTGTGCTTTTTTAGAGGGAAGCAAGCCCAGGGAAGCTTTATTTGTCTTACGGGTTTCATCTAGGTATCGAACATTTTTTTCAACCGAAAAAATTAAACTGTCAATCTTTATACATACCGAAATTGTATATATGCAGAGGATCGAGGGATAAGAATAGAAGTCTCTTCACATTCATCTCGAGTGATATGAGTTATCCTGGTTGATCACCTCTTGTTTAATTATATATACAGAAATTGTATATATGCAGAGGATCGAGGGATGAGAAATTCAATCGTTTTTCAGGGCAGGGCATTCAACGATTCAAAGATTAATTGAAGAGTTCGTTGGGGGCAGGCTGCTGCTCACTGTGTTTTCATGTGTCATGACTTCGTCAAGAAAGCTTTGTCATGATAAAAACTAAAAAGGAAATCAAACAAAGCAACGCTGTGTAATACTTCAAGCACTTCAGTCGGCTAAACGAGCTATTTTTCCTGCGAGACTGGTGCAGCGTTGTGCATGCTCTTGCATAATCACGTTAGCTAAACCCATTTGCTTCATATTTTCAAAATCAATTTTGTATTAAGCATTATCTATTACGTAGGCGCATGCTTTTAGTCTATATATGTATGCCAAAAAATGGTTTGCACAAAATTTGTTTAAAGAGCGATCCGTATATGGCCTTCGTCGTACAGGATTAATTGAAGCTTTACAATTTGAAACTAGTTGTAGTTATATAATTGAAATCCGGATTACTAAATATAAATTAGATTCGCAGAATCTTCGAATAAGATGAGAGTTAATAAGACTATATATCATGCAACGGATTTGTTTTAAGTTTTATATCCTTGTTAAAAATTAATCCCAATACATACCCTATTATATATGATTAACTAATCCAGCTATATCTGTTTGATTTGTTTAAGTTTTCGTGGCGTCAGGGTCACATGGTGCTCGGATTGTCGCGAAATAAATCCACGGGACCCAATGTCATGTGTCATACCTAAGTTTACTTGTTTTTATGATATCCATGGTTGATATGGTCAATTCATGTCCTTGTGAGGGACGGCGTATTATATCCTCAAGAAGTCAATTCACACTCCCAAGTTAACTCTCTTTTACATTTTACATTGCATTCCTCTCATTTTAACTTCATTTTTCAGCAATTTTTTCGGTGTCACTCAAAACGTGAACCGTGTTACTTGTTAATGATAAATAATGTGGCTTGATTTTTATATTTTATGTTGCCAATTGATGATTCGTTATTTAAATTTTTGATATGATATCCTCATCTTTTTAAGACTATTTTAGATTATTCGTGGAGAATATTTATCATCATAAAAAGATTAATTTTCCTATCTATGTATTTTGATAGATGAATAAGTTTTATCTGAAATTTAATTCTGAATCACATGATAATATATCAATTAGTGATTATATACTTAATCACGTTGCAGGAAAATTAAAATGAACACAGACTTCCAGGGAGATCAATTGTTAGGTGGTGGGCGATCTTGGCGTTTTCCGCTGCTTAAACATTGATGTATCTCTCTGTATCTTGTTTCATTTCAAACAACAGACCTTAGTTTGATGCGTGAAAGCACAATAAAATGCGGATTAGAAGGGGTTTGTCGATCGATACTCCAAAATAATATTTTAATGCTGAAAACTGAGAACAAGTATTGGAATTATAACCAAGGAGATGCAAGTTGAAAATCTTGTTTATCATTGTTGCTGGCGTCTACAATAGGAAGCCAGGAAATCTTGCAAGTCGTACCTAATCCGAGTGGCGAATCATAACCTCTTAATTTGTCTTATCCATGTTTCTC